AAGGGGTGCTGCAGCGTTCAGGATGATTGTGCTGCAGTTGGGTGCTAGTCTTATTCCCTGGTGAGGTGAAGTGTACAAGAATCTCCTCTCAAATCCCTCTGATAGTCAGAATGAGCATACAGGGATCCAGCGGCAGTACCTCGATCCCCAGGGCAACTGCAGCAGCTGGAGTGCAAAAACCCTGTCACCCCCTCAGAACAAGTACTTGCGCTGGCAGAGCTGTCCGCTGCCCCCCCCCACACACACACACCCGTCCACAGACCGAGGGGGTCTGATCAGATGCGAACAGACATCTCCTCACACTTCACAGTTTGGATCACCTCAACTTGCGAGGATGGCAAGAAAAATGAGTGTCGCTCGGCTACAAAAGTCCATATTTAGATTGACTGAGTTTGTCCCCGGGCCTTCGGGCTGACACGAGCTGGCCCGCCACTAACTTGCCGAGGAAGGAGAGCGCGGGACTGGAGTGACACGTCAGAGAAGGCTGGTTCCCTATCGCTCGCGGTGTGGGGGAAGGGGAGGAGTGGCTACTTTGAAGCAATGGGAGAAGGAAAGTGTCAGATTCGGTTAGCATCCAGACTGGTGTTGGAATATGCTTGGCACTAATATGGCACCAGTATCTCTGTCCTCATCTCTGTTCACTGTCAGTATGTGCGATTCCACGGCCCGTCTCTCTGCTGCTCTGACAGTGTCTTCTCGGATTATGTTAGTTGCGTGCTCGGAGCGCTGCCGCAGCTCACCCATCACTCAGCCGCTTTGTTTGAAGCCTGCCCTTTTTTGTCATTAATGCACTTGATGTCTATTTAAAAACGGTGGCGAGCATAGTATCTGTTTTCCTGTCAGGAGATCATTGACAGCATTAATGCCACTTGTCCTTGCCTCATTTACTAAAGTGCTGACACCTAGCTGCAGTCTGCCACATCCATCAAGCGCCTCTATTTCTCTCTCTCTCTCTCTGTCTCTCAGTCGCTGGCATGTCAAAACGATCCTGTCTTTAACACACTCAGACTGGGCTGTCTCCACACATCACATATAGGCCTCTCAGTCAACTAACATTTTCAGCCAAGCAGAAGGAAGATGTAAACAATACAAGTGCTGCATTCTTCTTCCTAACTCTGGCATATGTTTTGCCAGGACGTATATTGTTGATGTATGAGAGAAGTGAACAGAGTCACACTCTCAATGAGTTATGACCAGTCTCAAAGCTTGCGAGGAGAAAGCCCTATTAATCCTCACTAATGTTGCATTAGTCACTGCTTGATAATGATTATTTTGGTTGAGCACCATAGCAACACCACTAGCACCTTTACAACTGTCTAACAACTTAGGCACCACTCAGAACTCCCTAGCAACCACCAGCAACAAATACTTAGGAAAAACCTTGCTAAGCAACATCATCTGACGTCATCTTAGTGACCACCCATACATCCCAAGCAACGCCCTAGCAACTGCCTAGCAATAACTTTACTACTACACAGAATACCATAGCACCAACTACCTAGCAACAAATACTCCTTAGAACACCTTAGCAACTGTTAGCAACATCCAACAATTAATAATTAGACATTCCTGGCATCACCCTAGCAACCACCAAGAACACTCTAGCAATGTCTTTACTACCACCCAGAATATTATAATACCGAGTACCTAGCAACATGTTCACAAATATTCAGAGCATTTTAGCAACTAACAACGTCCTACCAATCACCTAACAACATCTTAGGATCCACCCATAAATCCCTATCAATACCCTAGTAGCCACCAAGCAACTGCCTAGCAATGCCTTTGCTACCACATAGCAAGCAGCAGCTACCTAGCGACATGCTGAGAAATATTCTGAACACCTTAGCAACTGTTAACAACGTCCTAGCAACCATCTAAAAACAACTTAGCGACCAGCCAGACATAACTAGCAGTTTCCTTGCAACACCCTAGCAACCACACAGAACACTCTAGCAAATGCCTAGCAATTATTATCTATTACTTAGCAATTACTACCACCCCAATTACTAACACTTAGAATACCACAGCACCAACTACCTAGCAACAAATACTTCTTAGAACACCTTAGCAACTGTCTAGCAGCATCCTAGCAGCCATCTAACAACATCTTAGGGACCACCCAGAGCACCCTAGCAATGCACTAGCAATCATCTCACAACACCCTAGCAACCACCCAAACAACTTAGCAACCTAGCATTGTCCTAGCAACCACTCAAACTTTGATACAATAGTAATATCTTGTTTTTATCAATTCTGTGTAGTATCTTTTGTAAAAAAAAAAATATGATGCAGGAATATAGTAATGATTCATTATCATGTTATATATCAAACAAATTATTATCATGTTATATATCAAAAATTAGTATTAATGTAGTATTTTCTTGTGATAGCATCACTGTAGCGTTTACTGCAGCAGTACTTGATAAGGCCTGTATTAAAACACTGTAAGACGACATAAGCAAATTCCTTCTGTATTGCTCTTTTCTAGCATAACGTTAATTTGTTTTAATGAATGAGTGGAGATGATCTACAACAGTGAGTGGCAGCTTCACACAGTGGATCATATTAAAACAGCCATGTGTGTTCTTGTCCTGTAGGAGTGTTGGTCGCCGTGATTTTGCCAAGTAAGACATGTTCCTGGATCAACATCTTTTGTTGATCCTGGATTGACATAACTGTCCAAAAATACAGACTTAACCCAATCCCTACCCCTAAACCTAACCCTACCCATAATTTATTCCTAAAACCAGTGTGAAATGATAGCTGATTAACAAGGGTGTACAAGCACCTAATCCTGATTGTAAGCCTAAAACTGACATTTCCTGAAAAGTTATCTCTCAATTCTGATTGGTTGATTGGAATGATGTTCTACTTGGTCAAATCACGCTCAGCAGGAGTGTTAATGCTCTGTCACAGTGTCTCTTACACACTCCGTCAGAGGGTCTGGACAATGAATGAAGTTAATGCTCACCTTATCAAACACTATTGATCAGTAAATCAGTACGATGAGCTCACTGTTGATCTTCACCCTTACTGTCTTTTCATCTCTCTCTCTCTCTCTCTCTCTCTGTCTCTCTTTCTGAAGAAAGCAATCTCTTGGCTTGTTATAGTCTAGACAATGCCCTCAGGCTAAATGTTGTCTCTCTGGTGTTCTCAGACTTTAGACGGATGCACTGTCTCCCCCGACACACCTTTCATGCCAGAAATTTGAGTGAGAAATGACAGACTCTGGAGACGCATTCTGAGTTTTTTTTGCAGCAGCAGCAGCAGCAGTGTGTGTACTTTACTGACAAACCGCTTTCTGATGGATAAACAGTAACCAAGAACTGTAACATTTTTTGTCGTTCATAGATTCGTAATCATAACACATTATTCTATCTATCTATCTATGTATCTAGTGTAAAAATAATAAATGCAATTTTAAAAATAACTTTTTTAATATCTTGTTTTCAACCAATATGAAGATATAAAGGAAGAAATAGTTCATATTTATCACTATTTTACCACAAAGTACTGCAGTATACCAAAAAGCAATTATATACAGTACAGTAATGTTGTTTATGTCTGTGTGTGTGTGTGTGTGTGTGTGTGT